GGATACATGGCACCTGAGTATGTAATACATGGACACTTCTCTGTTAAATCAGATGTCTACAGCTTTGGTATCCTAATTTTGGAAATCATAAGTGGTCAGAAAACTTATAATTTTCAAAATGGGGAGAGTGGGGACGACCTCATAAACTGTGTAAGTACAAATATGATAAGGTTTGGTCTTTTTCAAATTGATGCCACCAAGGATTATATTTATTGTATTTAAACATTTCAATTCTCACAGGTTTGGAAAAATTGGCACCAAGAAACAGTTACAAATATAATAGATCCTGCATTGAGGACTTCTTTAGGATCCATGCGTGATGTTATGAGATGTATCCACATTGGTTTGTTATGTGTTCAAGAAAATGCAGCTGATCGACCTACAATGGGATCGGTGGTTCTCATGCTCTCTAGCTTTTCCTTAACTCTACCAGTACCTTCACAACCTGCATTTTTCATGTCAGGTAGCTTTCCTCCAGAAATTTCAATTCTTCACGAGACTCATTCATCCAAAGATCAATTAGATAATACTACTCCTTTATCAACGAATGAGGCCTCGATGAGTGAGTTATATCCACGATAACTTCCAAGAAGATGCATATCCATTATAACAAGACATTTTTTAGTTACTTATGTTCTTATTTGAATGTACTTATCTTGTAAGCAGATTTATTCTCTTTACTTGATTTGTATCGGTGTGGTTTTTGGTAGTGTATTCCCATGTGAATAACACGATATCTATGGGTAACTTTCTTCGTGGCTTCGAGTGGGATTCTAGGACTCTTCTAGCGGAGCTACCTTGTGTGTTATTGGGTCACAAATTTGAGTCCTATATACTCGACTTTTGGTGCCAAACTTTATGTTCATTCAAGCATTTGATTCCATTGTTATTAATTGATTTGAAACTTAATTTGTGTTTGTTTGATCAATTGAAGGTTTTATCTAATTCCACAGTTGTAATGTCAACAGTCTCCAAAATAAATGAAATTACTCTATTCTTGTTGATTTACCAACTGTAATGGCAGGTCCAACAATGGTCCCTGATACAATTTAAGGATTTGCTGTAACAACAGATTTTGGATGAACCAATACACCAATTTCTATATTAGCAATTGGATCCACGCAAGACAACTTACGAAACATGCCACCTCCATTGCGCCATTGTTGAAATTCTTGATCATCAGTCTTAAAATCATCCATTTCTATCTTGAATTTAAAGCATACATTTTGTTGTTAAAAGATTTCTTAAAATAGGGATAATCAAATACAAAGTTAGTTAACTCTAAACCAAATAACGATAATCAAATTAAAATATAGAAATTGCAAGAAAACCACTTCCATATGAAGACCAAGTTCACAGTCAAAGATGAAATAATGGTGCTCAAATTCATTGACCCAAAATCACAAG